CGCTCCATGTGTCCTCCACCTTTGACTGAGCCAGGGGCGACCGACACTCATCGCGCATGGTTGTTGAGATCGCAGTTTTCATCCAACTACTGAAGCGGAATTATCTGTTGATCTACGAAACACTTTTCACTCCATCACCTTTTTTCTGGTGGTTAAAAAAACTGGAGATTAACGATGATCAGACAGACGTAGTATTATTGAGCACGAGCGGCAATTGGATGGGGACGGGTTGTTCTGCATGCATGTTCCACACATGCACAGCGTAACAAAGGTAAGAAGAAGCACACCCCACATTAAAGTACCGTCGATTGATTGATTGATTGATTGGTGCCAAATCATCGCTGGGACACACGCGAATGGGAGCGAGCTTCCTTGCTCGATCGCGCGCATAAACATGAACAGAAAAGGGAGATTTGTTCTTTCGTTATACCAATCCCATAAATATTTCGATATGCGCCATGAATCACATGACAGGCGGCAACACAAAATAAAGCCTAGCGTACGGCGGCCCGGCGGACTGGAGGCGGCTGGCGGCGGCCCGTCGTGGTGGTGGCGCCGTCCTTTGGCGGCCGGGCGGCCTGGTTGCGCAGGGTGGCCGGCGACGCGTCCTCGGCCCAGATCTGGGCCCTTAAGGCCCCATCTGGGTCCTAGCGGGCCGGTCTCTGGGTGTGGCCTTGTTGTCTGCGGCGCGGTGAGGAGGAAGAGCGGCTCGGATTTGGGGCGGCGGCACCGCCGGCGTGCCGGCAGCAGCGCGAAGGCGGGAGCTTTGCGGGTCTGGTGTGCTCCTGCTATTGCGTCCGAACGGCTACCGTCGCGGACGGTGGAGGTGGGGCCCTCCCGCGTGTCGATGGTGCTAATGTCTTAGTCCCGGCTCTGATTCTTTGCCGTGCTATCCTCACTTCGCGGTGCCGTGGTGAGACGGCGTGGGGACCTCAAGACCGCGTTGGCGCACGATGGTGGTTGGTTTGGTGGCAGGCTCCGGGGCGCCCGAGGTGCGGGTTGGGATCGGGGGAAACCCCTGTCGGCATGGCCAACACCGGCGCGGTGGCGCCTGTGGGGGCCACCTGACCTTCCGGGAGGGCGTCGGCGCTACCCTTCCTCTCGCCTCGTCGTGTACCGGGGGAAACCCTTGGCAGCAGCGTCGTCATCGTCGCGATCCTTCTTGGAGGTGTTGATAGGTGCCGGCGCTTCGGAGTCTTGGAGTCTAGTGGAAGATCCTGTTGGGCGCTTCGATCGTGAGGCTTCTTCGTTTTTGTTGATGCGCCGTTGTCGGCATTTGTTTCTTTTGCTTTTCTCTGTCGTTTCTTTTGGGCGTGACTGTGCTGCTTCCGCCTCAGCACCTATCCATGTATAGTTCGGTTGGTTGCTTTGTATACAAAGCGGGAAAACCCTTTTTCGGTAAATAAAAATAAAAAATAAAACCTAGAGCTAGCGAGCAGAGGATACCCCACCACATTCCGTCCCGCTCTGCTCTGAAGCGTCTGGAACGGAATATCTGAATATGCCCCCACCAAACGCGCACATGGAAAGCAATTACTCCCTGTCCGGTCCGATCTTTCGCCCGGTTCGCGGTTCGGGGCGTCTCGCTGTCAAGCGAGACCCATCGTCGGCGCCGGCTCTACTTTTACTATGCGCCAAAGTGTGCGTGCCTAGACTGGCCAACGTCGCGTCGCTCGATCCTCCCGGGTGGATCCCAATGACGCCTCCAACGCGGAGAGGTTGCGGTGAGGGAAAGGGCGCGGCTGCAACGGGTACACAGCGCGCACGCCTACCTCGTGTGCGCGCGAAAAAGGGAAGGAGGTTGCTAGTCGACGTACGTGCATGGCGCATGCTCATGGATCTTCCAGCGATACCAATCAATATCATGATGATTTTTAACTAACACAGGCATCATACAATACCACACATGATCTAATAATGGAGTCACTAATTGAAACTTATATAGGTTTCTAGGGCACAGTTTTTCTTCTTCTTTTAAAACTAGGCCAGTGGGGGAGGAGAAGACACATACTGAACTTTTTTTTTTGAGCAGGAACATTTTGCTATTGACAAAGAGCGCGTCCTCTTCGATTTCTATTAAAAGAAATCACAATGTCTCAGCTACCCGCATACTGAACAAACATCCCCTTCTCTAAGACTAGACAAACAAGAATATGGCTGATGCAAATATGATCGTTGTTATAGTTTGTAATCGCTGCCTTGATCGTTTGGATATTTTTCCTTTTTTTTTTCCTTTTCCTCTGTCTAGGGATAGCTTCGCCTTGTATGTCATTGTGTTTGTATAACCTTGATGTTTCATTTTGAGTCAAAAAAATTCACCCTTTGTAAAGAAAGACAAATAAGATTAGGTTGAAGTACGCGAGGCCATATATTTTAGCCGTTAGTTCATAAAAG